GCAGGAGAACCCGTACCGGTTTGTGCTGTTCCCGATCCAGTACCACGACATCTGGCGCAAGTACAAGGAGCAAGAGAGCTGCATCTGGACGGTGGAGGAGATCGATCTGGGCAGCGACATGGTGGACTGGGCGAAGCTGAACGATGGCGAGCGACACTTCATCAAGCACGTGCTTGCCTTCTTCGCAGGAAGCGACGGTATCGTGATCGAGAACCTCGCGCAGCGCTTCATGACTGATGTGAAGATACCGGAGGCGCGTGCGTTCTATGGGTTTCAGCTGATGATGGAGAATATCCACTCGGAGACCTACTCAGTGCTGTTGGACACGTATATCCTCGATCCTGATGAGAAGGTAAGCTTGCTGCATGCGATCCAGACGATACCTTGCATTCAGAAGAAGGCCGAGTGGGCCGTGCGGTGGATCGGGAGCGAGAGCAGCTTCCAGGAGCGCCTGATTGCGTTTGCAGCGGTGGAGGGCATCTTCTTTTCCGGGTCGTTTTGCGCGCTATTCTGGCTTAAGAAGCGCGGCGTGATGCCGGGACTGACCTTCAGTAACGAGCTGATCTCACGGGACGAGGGATTGCACACGGACTTTGCGTGTCTGCTTTACACGCACCACATCAAGCACAAGTTGCCGCGGTCGCGCGTGCTGGAGATCATCACGAATGCGGTCGACATCGAGCACGAGTTCATCTGCGACGCGCTGCCGGTACGTCTGATTGGGATGAACTCGGAGCTGATGGGTCAGTACATCGAGTTTGTCGCGGACCGTCTGCTCGTTGCGCTTGGTGAAGAGAAATACTACAATTCGACAAACCCCTTTGACTTCATGGAGATGATCTCGCTGCAGGGTAAGACGAACTTCTTCGAGAAGAGGGTCGGCGAGTATCAGAAGGCGGGTGTGATGAGCACGGAGGGGACTGTGAACAAGTTTTCACTTAATGAGGACTTCTAGCCGGGAGGGTATAGGCAGACATGGGGCGCATGCGGGCAGCGATGCAAACAGCCTGTGGAATACGCT